TCAGATTACAAATTTTGGGGCAGCTCTGCTGCTATCTCAGAATCAAAGTACTATACTTCTACAAAGGTTTGTTACAAGACGGTGGACATTGTCAGTCCAAGGATAATCACAGCGGTATGGTCAAAGTGCATTAGATCTGGCCTCTATGATTCTTGTAGGGGCGCTTCTTCGATACTAGCCGTAGAGGAGCCTTTTATTGTGTCAGTAACTGTCTTCGAAAGCTCGCCACTTGACGCCGGCTGACGCGAGGGCCGAGTGGAATCTTCACACTCAAACGTATCCGTAGATCCGTGCTTGTTAGATGCCTAGGGCATCGAGACCTTGCACTCATCGTCACCTGTGTAGTCGCTTCCTTCGCGTCGAGGCAGATCGTACCGTCATTTACCGCCTCGAGCGTGAGGTCTGTGGATTCAAACGAAGCCGTCAGCACCGAAATGCTAACTGACCCCACCACGTCCATAGTAACGTCCCCAATCAATATACGCTTAGTACGAACCTGAAGAATCGCGCTGCCCGACACATCCAACGTGAGGGCGTTCATGAGCTAGCCAGCAGACGACACATACACAGTGGCGAAATCACTCATGTCGATCACCAAATCATCATCCGACCTGCTGGATGCGAGGACTTCGTCCGCATTGACAATGTGTGCCGATCTAGAGCAACAAAGACCGCCCCGCTACCTTGAAATGACAGTACAGTCTTCGTGAGCACGCGTCCGTCCTCCTTGGGGGCAGCGCTGGCGTTCGGGAGCTGCTTGTAGGAAACGGTGACCGCTTCCACGGCACTCAGCGAGTCGTTAGAGACCCTGATACACATGTATGACCGAGCACGCGTGATCGCTATGGTTACCATCACTTGGGGTCATATACAGTACAGATCAGTTATTGGATCAGACATTCTTACTCTAATGATGATCAGGTAGATCATTAAGGTCAACCAGCGTGTATCAATATCTCCCGGTTAGAAATCCCTACGACGAAGCTACCTACTCGCTATTGCTCTTCCTCGTTCACCTCACCTAGACGATCTTCGGCTTCCGAAGAGCTGTCGGATACCAGCTCAACTGCTGGAAGTTTCTCGTCCTCAGAGTCATCAGCAATGTAATCCGGTATTACAACGGGTGCCGGTAGCTGTATGCGCTCGCATGGTAAGCGACGTGCCCGTCTGCGCGGAACATCAGTAAGGCGCTGAGCATACTGCGCCGATAGTAGTTTGACGACACCAACGAAAGGCGTCATACTAGGGGCTTAAAGAAATGGCTGTTGAGCTCCATGTTAAACCTCTCTAAAGCGTTATTTGTCCGTGCAATGCGCTCGTTGCTTGGCCGGCAACTTTCCATACGCTCACGTCGTATTGAGTCTGCACGGCGCGCCCTCGAAGTCGCACACGACTTCGGCGGGCTCCAGTTGCTGGTCGGTACATTGTACTACGAAATGTATCATGTTTTGAAAGGCATCCCCACTACGAGAGGTGCTCAATACGTAGTAAACAGGTGCAAACAGTCCCGCAGCTCTATCATGTACCATATAAATGACGCACTGCTTGTAGCCTGGTGGTACACAGCGGAATGTACCGTCAATAAAAAGCGTAGTTCCATCGTTGCGGAGAAGGTTGACGGGGTTTGGGTGCGCCCAGCCGATCAGCCGAGTATGCTTGTTAAGGTTCTCGCGGCTGATCGTGACGAAATGAAACTGAAGAAAGGAAACCGTTTCATCCAACGCCAATGATACAGGCGGGATTTCGATTGCTTCATGTACAACTCCACTGAAATGCCTACTTTGTGCTTGAAAAACACGTCAAAACACTTGGGCCTCCGACAGCCCGCGCCAACGTGCTCATTGTCTGCGCCGTAAAACACGTTGCGCTGCTCTTCCCAAATAAGTCGCGCGGGAAGCGCAACCTGGTCGATAGCGAACATGTCGGCTCTGTCCTTCATCACTCCCGTGACATCTGCAAGGCTACTGCCAGCAGCATCAACGCGGCGGCAGGTGTGGGGGTGCCCAACTGTGTAGCCCATTGTACCAATGAAGAAGGCCATCGTACCAAGACAGCCTTGGCGCCAATGACAGAAACGGTACGATATCTTTCGCGACGATGCCCACGCCCTAGTATACTTGAGCCGCGAAAATAGCACGTGGTCTTCTCCTGGCGCACTTGGCCCCTGGGACGGCTTGATACAACGTTAGTCGCCCCAGCGCCGTCTGGAGCTTCGGTGTTCCCCGAGGAAGACCGTGCAGGTGCCTGCATGTTATCGAACGAGTTCTTCTTTACAGGTGCCTCGCAGGGATCCCCGCTCTACGTGGCCTCTTTTAGGCCTTGCATTTTCAGATCTCGCATCAGATCGTTGCAAAATCAACATATGTACAAAACTCTGATCTGTACCGTATATGACCCCAACCAGGTTTTACCATCGCTATCGTTCGCAAAAACACGCTACCCGTAAGGCGTCGATCAAGCGTGTTGATCTTGTCCGAGTTGGCGCTGCTAGTGACCGTCCACTACTTGAAGTGGCTTGTCGATAACGTAACTGGTTCCGTGCGACAGAAGCTGACAGTGATAGCCGCCGTCGCGCAAGCAACTAAGGACGTCGAGATAAGGAAAGTAAGCGCTTAGAGTGTTTATTTTTAAGCCAAAGGGACCACGGTTGACGAGATCCTTTTTTATGTGGTATTCCTCAGATTTGTTTTCTCTCTCGAGTATGGAGGAGAACATCTTGTAATCACGTACCCATGTACGAAAAAATCTATCTCTTCATTTTGTTTAATGATGTGTAAGAGTTAATATATTTGCGTGACAAGGCAGGCGGCGAACCTGCTGGGAACGGATAGCAAAGTGTATTCAGCTGCTTTCTGGCTGCTGGTGAAATGTAAAGTACGCGTCAGGAACAAGTTGAGGCTGCCCTTCTTTCTCAAGCACATAGAGATGCAGTTATGAATAATGTAAGGCCTCCGGTAAATCCACAAGGACAACTGGATGCTAGCTAAAAGAACGTGTTGTCTGAATGCCCCGTGAAGAAACGTCACTTACCGAGATGTATCTGGCCCGTCTCGGGCACTCCAGGGTCAATACAGATAACAATAGCTTGCTTAATATCTGCAATACATCACAGAATGCTACCTCCTGTAGGAAACGCCACACATTGTCAGAGCTTAAATAAAGTACCACTAATAGCGGTAGGTCTGATATGTGGGTAACGTGAAAATTGGTCAGTTTGGAATCACTGTTACCAACTTTTGAGACGTCAAATATGGCTGGTCTTCGAATTAAAATCTCTGTAAAGACGGCCTTAGCGAGTGAATGCGTCATGGAAGCTGAACTTGCTTCGATCAGCAATGCTTACGGAGGTTACATGACGACAAAAGAGGATTACCTCACACAAGAATACGAAGGCGCGTTAACACTCTTCGATCCGAACCAGTTGGTTGCTGTGCGCTTAAAGTTCAAAAGCACTTTAGGATCAGCAAGAATTGACACGTGCGGCAGCTTGGAAAGAGATTATTTTCAATACAAAAAAAGATTGAATTCAACACCTCTAAAACAAGGATGCTTTTCAATAGCTAAAAGGTGGTATTGATGTACTCTGTCCCGTTTATTTATATTACAGCTGTGTGTGTTACAACATATTGATATTCTTAGACATCCTGGTATGACACGAACGGCGCATTCGCCAACAGACGCTGAACCGCAGTCATGAGCGACGATGGACAAGATCCAGAGGTCTCGCCGCCTGAGGGTGATTCTTCTAACGTCGCACATAGTTCATTCCGGTTTATCTCAATCCATTTTACAGAAGAGGCTGCTGTTACTGCGCTACCCAGTGTCGATACATCCGAATACAACCATCTACGTACGTATGGGCCGTCAGAACGTCGCAAGAGTGTCTACACTTGCATTTCGCATGAGGCGTGTTCTCGTCGGCTACGGATCGCTAAGATTTTAGAGTACAACTCTTCTCATTCCATAACGACTTCTTCATATACGAAGTAGAATCTAGTGGTACCCATAGCCAGTTGCTAACGCACCGAAAGAGGTCTGGTATTGACATGCAGATAAACCAGAGGTGGGTAGCATTTTTCATGGTGGAGCAGATGCGTACTTCTACTACAGAAGAAATATAAACTTGACCCAACCATGTTAGCCAAGATTCCAGACGAAATCAAACTGAAGAACAGAAAAGCCAGTCTGAAGAAGAAACTAAAAAACAATTGGGATATTTCAAGTTTTTCAGTTCTGATGGAGTGGGCCCACCCGCACATGTGTACTACGGCTGACAAGTTTTTCGGAAGCTTGGGGATTGATGGGTTTATTGATTTGGCGGCATTTACTCAACAAAGTCTCGACTTTCAGAATAAATTACTCATATTGAACACATTTGATCACAAGTTTGATGGTGACACCGGGAAAGAAACTTCGTTTGGTGTTATTTTCACATCGCGACGTCTTTTTTGAAATCTGTACTTAAGTATTTGTGATCAAAGAGAGACCGGTCTCGTTGGAGTTACCGATGGCACCTACCGCATCGATTTCAGTAAGTGTTATTACTAAATAATTACAAAATATTTATTACAGCTGCTAACCCATGTATATTATTCACGTTTATTAAAGATCGCTGGACTCTGGTAGCACTCGGCAGTTCTTGCTCTGTGTATGAAAGAAAACGTTACCGACATTCATTTGTACCTTGGCTGTACATGTTTGTGCGTACGGAGCATGAATTTGCCTACAAAACGTTATTCTCTACAGCTAAGCGATTCGTCGCTGATTACTTCAACGATTCTTTGGTTTTGAAGTACGGAAGCCAAGATCATGCTTCCTACATTGCTACAGCTTTTTCCTCCATCTGGCCTGGTATCAAAATACTTAATTGTTATCCACACCTTTTCAGAAAAGCGTTCGAAAAAGGTGGCCTATTGAATGACTCTGGATTCTACAGTTCTTACGTCGAGATGAATATATACCTCCTCGAGCAAGCGTGTACCGAAGAACAATTTACGGCAATGGCTGAGCGTATAGTTAAATATTGGAGCGACAAAAACGAACAAGCGTACGCGGATTGGTTCAAAAGCCAGTATTTGGGCGCTCTATGGGTACATGGTTTACTACTTCTGCTGTGCCTGGTGTTTTGCCGTCACAAAACCCTATCGAATCCCACAACAAAGTGATAAAAACGGTGTGCACTCCGCAGCTACATGCAGCGACCTCAGTCGTTTTGAATGACACCCTCCCAGCGATCCTTTTGCTCAACAGTGACAAAAAGATATCCCGATACGGTCATTTCAGCGAAGGTAATATTTAACTTTTTCATCATAATATGTTTGACTAAATTAAAAAATGTTTTAGGTCCCGTTCCCAGCGAAATGGTTGAACACGCACGAGTGTTTTTTCGTGATAAAAATCATAGGAAGCAATACCTTATCTTGGATTCCCCAACAAAACTGAGCTCAATTGTTTTCAATACTTGGGAATACGCTGTTTCTTCTAAAAACCAGTGTGGAGTGGAAGTCACCGATGCCCGAGTCTCCAGGTTTTTTTTTTTCATCATTTATCCAACTTAATATATCAGCATAACTTTCACTGTTTGTATGTCATACAGATATCTTGACTCGAAAAAAGGAAAACTACGGAAGAGGTCCAAAGTTCCTGATTTTAATCTCTATTTTGCCTCATTGCACGAGGTTTTAGTACATCCTGATGCACCTACTTCAGACTTTCAGCTGAGCTTGACCCCTACAGTACCAGGTAACATTGTGTAAAATGTTGAGATGCAATTTTTTTTTTAACAATTTATCCTTACAGATTCTGGCTGTTCGGTCACGATATCGCTGTGATTGTAAGGGGTTTTGGACTACTGGCTGGGTTTGCAGTCATGTTATAGCAACACTTGCCCTGATGAAGCAATATGACCTGCAAACAGCAACCGCTCACATGCCTGTTCGGAAACAGAGTGGGGGTTAGCGAAAAAAAAAACAAATTGTCTAAACAAGGACGACTCTAGATACTTTGAAGTTGGAAAACTGGAAAAACAATTCATTCAAAAACCATCCTTTCCAATTGGGTGGAACGTGACCAAACAACTTCCAGTTGAAGACACCGAAGGAAAAATCACGCTGAGAAATGTACCTGGCCGAGTTGTGGATTGGCAAGATTGTATTGGGCCAAGAGGTGTCTATAACTGGGCGGTTGAGTTCAACAATGGTGCTAGGGAATTGCTGGAAGTGGATCAATTGGCTGCGCTGATTAGCAAGTGCCATCACGAAGGGCTAAACGTTACAGCGCGTCTTTTCTAGTCGAAGCGTGACTCACGACATCGTGGTGATAACCATAGTAGTTCTAATACCACATAAATTGTATTGAAAAGCATCCGATTTTGTATAGCAGATAAGCCGCACCCCGGCAGCTTCGGTCGTCGATGCGTCTGTGCCACTGGACGTGGCGCCCACTCCATTGCTGCTCACCCGTAGCGAGTTCGCTGTCGTAGAGCTGCAGCCAGTGGACTCTGCGCTATCAAACCAATTGTTCAGCTATGTTCGTACTCAGCCTGCGACGTCTTACACAATCATAGGTTTGGATTCTGCTTAATTCGCGGGGCGCATCTAATGAGTGCAGTAACCATTGTTTCCTCATTCTGCGACGTTCAGAAGCTGGATCCCAATGGATTGCTTATCACTGTGACGGCGGACGATCACTGGTACCTACGCTGGGAGCGCCTTATAGAAATGGAAATCAAAAGCACGTGCGAGTGGTATATTCGGTATTAAGGGTGCACGCGGGTGGGTAAAAGTATCGTTTCGTTCACCGCGGATGCTAAAAAGACTTATTGGGAACACTTACGCCACGAAGGTACGTCGAACGCATTGACGTTAACGGTGTGAGGTATAGTTATGAGCCCAAAGCATGATACTCGAAACGGGAAGCAGTAGATAGAGCATCCTACACATTCCTCTATCCAAATAAATCTAAAACTACAGTTATGATGATGTGAGCGTAAGCGCTTTATACCGGTATCCGGTGCGTCTCTAAAATCATATTGGAATATCCTGAAAGGCTGGGACAGCCCAAATCGTAGTTATTCGGTCATGTTAGCTGAAGCCGTCGGAAGAGTAACTAACATCGGTTTAGTGGCTCCGATAGAGGTTGCCGCTCTCCAGACTGGCCGTTTTGCCACTTTACAGTGCTAAACGCTAAGCGATGATTCGAGTTACCGAGAAAAACAGAAGTAGCTATTTTTGTTAAATATTCTATCTTTTGGTGAATATGTAGTTACTTAGTTATCAGCGGTAAGATTACGCACATCATTTGCATAAACATTAAATTGTCGCTAAAAAGTGTCGGAATCCTGCAAAAAGGGAGCTTCTCAGCAAATCCTGCAAATCCATAGTTTTAGATTTTTTTTACAAAACAAAAAAAACTGGTGATACGTAGCCGTTAAACGCTTTACTGCTAAGAAAGGATAGATATATCTAGCTACGGTGGCTAATAAATTGATTTATGGTAAGCCAAGTCAATCGCTCGTTATCATGTTACGACAAATCGACATCAATATCATTTTTCAATTACACGCAAATCGCCGACGATGCTTAGTTTTGATGATTGATGCTTGGTATGAATATATTTATGATCTTAAAGAAGTCCCTCATATCGGACTCTAAACTTCAACTAACGATGGATAAGAATAGCATGGCTCGGCTTTTTGATCCCAAACAGGTAAGTCATCTCTACCCACGATCAAGCTTAGCGTTGACCCTACCATGGCTCGCGGTAGAGCTATCTCATCCTAATTGTGCACTCACCAAATACTTGCGACGCCTGGAGATTTGCCAAGATCGGCTCGATCGTATTAACTGGAGCAACGCTCAGATCATGGAACGAGGTTTGAAAGCACTTTTGCAAATGATTACCTAATCAGCGTTTCGATGAATTGAGAGTATGGTCGACTCCTTCGTGGTATGACAATTAATTGAGCCGCCATGCTACCACTAATGTACAAAGCCGCGTGTTTGAGTGTATTCCAGATTGTCCGCCTGATTCATTAACCAGTTCGCAGCAGCATCAGTGCATCGATGTATTGTTTTTGCTGCTCCCATGTTTATTTAAAAATTAACCCTTTTATTACTGGTAGACAAGGCAGAAACTTACACCACTTGACTTAAATCTAACGAGAGCTCGTTCTCGGTCTGACGAATTACGATAGCAGAACAAATCGCCTGGAGAGTCCTTAACTGAGAAGAACGGGAGCTAAACAAGGAAGTTTCGCGCTCTTGACCTATTGCCAGCACTATTCTCCGTAGGTTTCCTGTCTCGACCTTGCTTCGAGCAGCTCTTTAGAATGCAGCCTCTAGTGTTTTTGTTCTGCCTCCATTCAAGAAGGTTCGTCCTTCGTGGGTCGTTTGGGATAAACTATTTAGTCTTCTCTATTCAGTTGGACTAGTCCATTCGCAATGACAGATGGGAAAAGGAGCCGTGGTGGTCTCGAAGACTCCTGTCGGACACTTATTATACAATAACGGAGTGCGCCGTTTCCACGTTTGAAACTGAAAAAATGATACTCGAAATATGATTGGCTGATAGTCGCTTGAAAAGTACATGCGCTAGTTACACAGCTGCAACGTTACATTATGCAACGTGTGACCCGCACAATCGCATTGCCCTATCCACCACGTCAGCACGCTTTTAGTTGGTCGTAAATGATAACCTCTCACTTCTTTCCTATGGCAACAACAAGGATCATATCGTCCATAGCGAATCGCTCTACAATACGGTTCACAAACGGAGGACCGTATTGCAGTATAGCTCGCTGTCTCTTCAAGTCGTTTTCATGCTCAATCCAGTAGGCTGTCGAGATGTCGCTTTAATTTATCGTAGTGTGGCTACTGACAGCCAGAGACACAAGTTGCCAACATAACGGACTAAGTCGACAAACGTTGCCAGCATAACGGACCAAGTAGCATAACGGACCAGGTCAACATGACACTCCAGTCCTTGTCGTGTCTTTTGGAAAGTCTCATTATCCTTTCTGCATCCAAGCGAGCACTCCTCAGCAACATCCAAACCAAGATGTCTTCAACGCCGCTTCACTTGGATCCAAAGGGGCCAGACCAGCACTTTATCCAAGTTGAGACTCCCAATGTGTTTCCAGCACTACACAACAGTCCGCTGCAATCCAACGAAGCCCCTCGATTCACGCTTCATTGGCGCAACCTCAGTCTCAAAGCTGCTATCACTAACCCACAGACGAAAGCAATCGAAGAAAAAACCATTTTGTCCAATGTCAGTGGCACCGCAAGGCCCGGTGAGTTGCTGGTCATCATGGGACCATCTGGTGCTGGTAAGAGCTCCTTGCTCGACTGCATCTCTGGACGCAATAAGGCTGTTGAAGGGGAGATCATGCTCAATGGACAACCATGGAGTGACGACACCAAAAGACTCGCGTCCTACGTCATGCAAGACGATTTGTTCTACCAGACCATCACCGTCAAGGAGCATCTTGTCTTCCAAGCTAGACTTCGTATGGGCAAGACGTACACGGAGCAACAATACATGAAGCGTGTGGACGAGGTGATGGAGCAACTGGGCCTTATGAAGTGTCGAGATACACTTATTGGTGGCATCTCGTTACGTGGTATCTCTGGAGGCGAGAGGAAGCGCCTGTCGTTTGCCACGGAGATCTTGACGAACCCGTCGATCTTGTTCGTGGACGAGCCGACGTCGGGTCTGGACAGCTTCATGGCGGAGACGGTGACAGCGCAACTACAGCAAATCGCTCGTGAAGGTCGTACAGTGATAGCTACGATCCATCAACCTTCGTCCGAGATGTTTACGCTCTTTGATCAGCTGTATCTACTGTCCGATGGTTCGCCAGTGTATCAAGGCAAAGCTTCCGAGTCTGTAGACTATTTTGCCTCAATGGGGTACCAGTGTCCTCCTCTGATGAACCCAACGGACTTTTTCATGCGTCAGTTGGTGGTTATGGATAAAGCCACTGACGAGGGGGGTGTCGCGCGTGTGGAGCGTCTGAAAAACGAGTGGCGAAAGCGTCAGGCGTTACCACGAATCGAAGAATTCCACAATGGGTCAGGACAGAATGAATGTCATTACGAAGACTCTCGACTGGGGTGGGTAGACCAGATCGCAGTTCTGGTGCAACGCAACGTCGTCCGCTTTGTGCGCGATCGCCTCGCGTTCCATGCTGACATTTTCCAGACACTCTTCGTGTCTGTGCTAATCGGGCTCATCTTCCTGCAACTTGAGCTTGATCAAAGCGGTGTCCAGAACTTCACAGGAGGCTTCTTCTTCCTGATAGTTAACCAGACTTTCTCGTCCGCCAACCCCGTCTTTATCTCGGTTCCTATGGAGCTGCCCATCATTATTCGAGAATACAAAGGCGGGCTCTACCACCTCTTTTCGTGGTATCTGGCCAAGAACGTGAGCGAGTTCCCGATGCAAGTTCTGCTCCCAATCCTGTATTTCACCCCAGTGTACTTCCTCATGGGGATCGGCCACGGCTTCAGCGTGTTCATCTCCATGCTAATCGTGATGATTCTCCTCAATAGCTGCGCTGTGGGACTTGGCTACGTAGTCTCGTGTCTGTGTCGAAGGGTGGACATTGCTCCAGTCGTCGGCGTGGTGATTATGCTGCCGTTTTTACTGTTCGGAGGCCTCTTGATCAACTCGGACGATTGTCCGGACTACTTTATCTGGTTGCAGTACGTTTCTCCGATCAAATTTGGCTTTGAGGGTCTGATGAAGATCTTCTGGGGCCAAGTACCGACGATTTCCTGTGACGCGGACGTGGAGAACTGTACTGCATTAACCGGCGATGAAGTGCTGAAAAACTACAGCATGGAGTCGCGGTCGGCATTGGCGGATGGCGTTATCCTCGTAGCTATCAACCTGGCCTTCCGAGTAGCCGGCTTCCTCGGGCTTTGGCTCAATCTACGCAGCCAGAAGTAGTATCGTGTACATGGATACATTTGTGTCGCTATGATTGCATCATATAGAGATAGTGTAATCGCCCCTTTTCCACGCTTGATAATATCCCCCACTTCAACATTTTCAACCAATCTACGGCTCCGATTGATCAACCGTTGTGTGCTAGCGGTAAATATAGAAAAAATGTCAGCAAATCTTTCTATTTTGATGTCAGACGAAATATAGGATGGGAGTTTATGACGCGCCCTACTGACCACATCACCAAGTCTTTCCCAGTCACGACCACGAATGGAAACGATGCAAACGCCCACTCAAGACGTTGCACTTCAAGATCACTTCGTTCAGATCGAGACTCCCAAGCCCCATGTCGACACTTCCTTTGTGTCGTCAGAAGCTCCCAAGCTCACACTCCAGTGGCGCAACCTCAGTCTCAAGGCCACAGTTGTTAATCCCCGTACCAAACAAGCTGAAGAGAAGGTTATTCTATCCAATGTCAGTGGCACCGCAAGACCCGGTGAGTTGCTGGTTATCATGGGACCATCTGGTGCTGGTAAGAGCTCCTTGCTCGACTGCATCTCTGGACGCAATAAGGCTGTTGAAGGAGAGATCATGCTCAATGGACAACCATGGAGTGACGACACCAAAAGACTCGCGTCCTACGTCATGCAAGACGATTTGTTCTACCAGACCATCACCGTCAAGGAGCATCTTGTCTTCCAAGCTAGACTTCGTATGGGCAAGACGTACACGGAGCAACAATACATGAAGCGTGTGGACGAGGTGATGGAGCAACTGGGCCTTATGAAGTGTCGAGATACACTTATTGGTGGCATCTCGTTACGTGGTATCTCTGGAGGCGAGAGGAAGCGCCTGTCGTTTGCCACGGAGATCTTGACGAACCCGTCGATCTTGTTCGTGGACGAGCCGACGTCGGGTCTGGACAGCTTCATGGCGGAGACGGTGACAGCGCAACTACAGCAAATCGCTCGTGAAGGTCGTACAGTGATAGCTACGATCCATCAGCCTTCGGCCGAGATGTTTACGCTCTTTGATCAGCTGTATCTACTGTCCGATGGTTCGCCAGTGTATCAAGGCAAAGCGTTGGAATCTGTCGACTACTTCGCATCGCTTGGCTACGCTTGTCCGTCGCTAATGAACCCTACGGACTACTTCATGAAGCAACTCGTCGTTATGGACAAAGCTACAGACGCTGACGGTGTTGCGCGTGTCGACAAGCTCAAGAAAGAATGGGTGCAGCACCAGACGCTGCCTCAAATCAAGTCTCCAGAAGGAGATGGCAAGGTCGCAGACTACCAAGTCTCTCGGTTGAACTTCATCGGACAAATCGGAGTTCTGGCGCATCGTAATGTCGTCCGGTTTGTGCGTGACCGTCTTGGCTTCCGAGCCGCGATCTTCCAGACGTTGTTCATCTCTCTCATCGTCGGTCTCATATACCTCCAGCTAGATCTGGACCAGAAAGGCATTCAGAACTTCACCGGCGGCTTCTTCTTCCTTATCGTCAATCAAACCTTTGGGTCGGCCAACCCCGTCTTCATCTCCGTGCCGATGGAACTCCCCATCATCATTCGAGAGTACAGAGTCGGACTGTACCATCTCTTCTCGTGGTACCTTTCGAAGAATGCGAGTGAGATCCCCATGCAAATTCTCTTGCCGATTGTATTCTTCGTGCCGGCCTATTTCTTGATTGGCATCGGCCACGGGTTCGACGTCTACATCTACCAGCAGATTATCATGATTCTAGTCAATAGCTGCGCTGTGGGTCTTGGCTACATGGTTTCCTGCTTGGTTCGTCGGATTGATATCGCTCCGATCATTGGCATGATTATCATTCTCCCCTTCCTCTTGTTCGGAGGCCTGCTGATCAACTCGGACGATTGTCCCAAGTACTTTGTGTGGATCCAGTACATTTCTCCTATTAAGTACGGCTTCGAAGCGATCATGAAGATCTTCTGGAACCAAGTACCGAAGATCGCGTGCGACGAAGCCATGGAAAACTGCACTGCACTCACGGGAGCAGATGTATTGAAAAATTACAGTCTGCAGTCACGATCAGCGCTCGGTGACGGTCTCATTTTGCTGGCGATCAATGTTGGCTTCCGTACGATCGGATTCATCGGGTTGTGGCTAAACTTACGTAAAGAGGGCTAAACACAAGATACATTTCGCTAAACCTCAATAGTATTAAAAAGTGAAAAAAAAAACTACTCGAAAACAATTTTATTTTTTTGCTATGGAGATCAAAGTGTAGAGCGTTTGTTCAGTCCATCACTTACTCCTTCTGACCCAGGATAGGGTAGTCAGTATATCCCGTCTCGAACGGGACACCGAGCGGTTGGTACACGGATTGCTGGTTGGTCGCGTTGAGCTCAGCGCCAGTTTTCAGACGCTCCACGAGGTCGGGGTTGGAGATGAAGTTGCGAGCGAAAGCGACGGAATCGGCAGACTTGTTCTCGACGACCTGAATGGCCTCTTCGCGATCATAGCCCGAGCACGTGATGATGAAGCCGATGTAGACCTTGCGGAAGATCGGGAGCACACCGCCTTCCGGTGCGTCAGGGGCAGGCGCTTGAATCCCGCGTGGCTCGACGAGGTGGAGATAGGCCAGGTCATAGTCGTTGAGCTTCTCGATGATGTAGCCGAACAGCTCACCTGAAGCCGAGTCGGTGCAGCCAAAAGCTGTTCCGTACGGCGACAAGCGAATACCGACCTTGCTCGAGTCCACGCCGGACAGAACGGCCTCTAGCGCCTCGAACAGGATACGTGCGCGGTTTTCAATGCTTCCGCCATACTTGTCTGTGCGCTTGTTGATCGAGTCGCATAGGAATTGCTCAATGAGGTAGCCATTAGCGCAGTGGAGTTCCACACCGTCGAATCCGGCGTCGAGAGCCTTCAAAGCGGCCGACTTGTAGTCGGCAACAATTCCCGCGATCTCATTGGTCTCCAGAGCGCGTGGAACTGGATGAGGCAGGCGACCTTCGCGAGTCGGAGCGAGGCTGTGCACGCCTTCCATGCCAATAGCGCTGGGGCACACTGGGAGTTTACCGTTCGGCTGGTTGAGTTGGTGGCTTACACGTCCCGTGTGCCACAACTGCACGAAAATCTTGCCGCCCTTGGCGTGCACGGATTCCGTAACCTTCTTCCAGCCTTCGACCTGAGCCGAGTTGAAGATACCAGGTGCACCGTAGTAACCCCGAGCGGTGGCACTGATGTTCGTGCCCTCAGTGACGAGGAGACCGCTATCCGTAGCTCGCTGCGTGTAGAACTCGACGACGACAGCGCCTGGGACGCCATCGTCGCCCGTACGGAGTCGAGTCATGGGAGCCAAAACAACGCGGTGCTTGAGCTGAATCGGAGACTTCTTGCCACCGAGCGTCGCCGCTGTGAAGATTTTGGGGAGCGCACCAAGAGTCATCGTGCTCGGTAAAAGGTAGGTGGTCGACATGTGGATTGGACGGAGTAATTGAGTTTTTTGTCAACACTTTTTGTGAGTCTGATGACAAGACTCGGAGCACATACAGTACCAGTAGCCTAGAATAGATGATACTGTATCGACAATCCAGTCTTCCGCATTTCCAATACCGGTAGCTGCTTCAGGGCTCAGCTTGTCGCGGGTTGACCAACTCTTTCAGTTTTAAAAGATGTTGACCACCTCCAATGATTACTTATCCAGGGACGAAAATATCCAAAATACTGCACACTTCTATATTTTGGCAGAAAAAGAAATGCGTTAAAGACTGGGCCAGCGGGTGGGTCGCGTTGAGTAGCAAACCCGCGACGTATTTGCGGGAGCGCCGAGCTCACCAGCGAGTCGAGCATTGCGGTGAGGGTATCTTTGCATCGCAGGCTGCCTTCGCGAAGCGAAGTAAAGCCTAGGATCATCATTTAGTTTTTAATTAAAATTAGGTATGAGTCTCTCGTTTTTGTTTTGGAACTCCGTCGCCCGGCTCAAGACTGTGCATGTAGCACTCGCCCACACTCCTACTGTACATGTAGTATTGTACTTAAAAAGTGCGAGTAAAGATACTTCTTCGGAATATCAAAACTGGGGTCAGAAGGCCAAGTCTAGATTACCGGTAGTTGATGCTGCCTTACATTTTGTCCGATCACTCGAAACAAAGAGTTTCTGAACCAAAGAAGCATCATGACCTTAATAATGCACTTCGTCTTAACTAAGCCCTAAATTGTTGCTGAGAATATTCAAAGCTAGAGATAAAGGGTTAATACCAGCAGAGCAGTAAATTTTGTAGCAGGCATTAGCTCACTTGCAGTGCATCATCGTCTCTCCGTTTCATACCTTAAAGTGACGCGAAACAAAGTATATTCACGTGTAAGTTCCATCGACCGACCCCATTACACAGGGGATTGTCGATTCGGGATTGTGCTCGAGTAGTCTGCTAGCAGAGTAATCTAGGAATCAAGTGCGGTTTTGTGAGAAAGCGCCGCGTTAAGTTAGCTACGGTATTGCAGGCTCATCGTCAATAAACGAAGCTTTTGCGTTGCGTAACATAACGTGCGGTACAACAGCCTTCGCACCGCTAGTTTAGCAGTTCCACCCTGTTCTTGTGATTCTATTTACCGGATAGCCTCAAAACGCAAAGGGGGGGGCACAGGGTGCAAAGGAAATACAGCGTCGCACACGCTAAGACGGTGGTGTCGGTACTGGCTCACTCTCAATTTTTGTCCGTCCTAAACAATTCCCTACACCAGCATCTGCACAAGTATGAATTTCCAAGAAGGTACCAATGAAGTGTCGGGAAGTTCAGCCTCACTGGCACCTAGTGCGTTGCTACTCCATCAAATCTCTCAGAAACTATCGCCATGGACTACTACCCGCCAAGATCTTCATCTGACGGCGAATGCGTCGATGGTGAATGCTTCCAGCACACCAGTGATGCAGAGCGAGCGAGCTTAAGCGGGTCAGACCAAGACAGCGAGCAACCCCAGCTACTTTTGCTACACCTTCTAATGCTGTGGTAAGAAGGACTCGAAGCGATCTCTAAAATCTTCGGCTGTTACTAAATACTACAGTACAGTAAAAGTGTACAAATACTACAATTTTTAATTACAGCAGCTGGGCCCCCACGCTCGTCCCTACAACGTTTCCCAAACTTTTGGAGATGTACCGACCGTACAATAATAAAAAAAAATGTAATCGTATTTTTCGTCACTACTGCTGACAAATTCGAGTTACTGAAATAAATGTGTATAATTTTATTTCGAGTGTTTCCCTTTAAGCCACAACTTACTTTTCTGGCGAAGCTGGTACGAGATGGAAATGAACGCAATGGCGCGGAACGCAACGTTCAACAAAACGAGTAGCAGTGCGTCTCCAAGCGCCGATCGAGAAGTCATGCTGTAGCTTGCCAGCACCTCCGCGCCCGTGCGAGCAGTGCAGTTTGTCGTGTCACATGCGATGGATGAGACGGCGTTCCAGAAGATCTTCATGATCGCCTCGTAGCCGTACTTAACTGGGGAAACGTACTGAATCCAGATAAAGTAATCGGGGCAATCGTCCGAGTTGATGAGCAGCCCACCGAAGAGCATGAAGGGCATGATGAGCATTATACCGATCAAAGGCGCAATGTCAACTCGTGGGACCAGACACGACACCATGTAGGCGAGACCGATCGCACAGCTGTTGACGAGAATCATGACGATCTGCATGTAGATGTACACGTCGAAGCCATGACCGATGCCCATGAGGAAGTAGATGGGCACGAAGAAGACAATCGGTAGGATAATCTGCATCGGTAACTCGCTTACGTTCTTGGACAGAAACCACGAGAAGAGGTGGTACAGTCCGGCCTTGTACTCACGTGAGATGAGCGCCAACTCCATGAGCACCGACACAAAGACGGGGTTCGCCGTCACGACAATTTGGTTCGTCACGAGGAAGAAGAAAGCGCCAGAGAAGTTCTGGATTCCCTTCTGGTCTAGATCGAGCTGCAAGTAGATCAAACCGACGATGACCGCCAGGAAGAGATTCTGGATGAACGGTACACGCAGCGCGAAGCCGTCACGCAGGAAGCGAAGGACGTTGCGTTACGCCAGGACGCTGACTTGGGTGAGTAGGCTCACGCGCGTGTTTTCCAATTGCTGCTCACCTTGGAGCATGGACACGGAGTCGGCTCGCGGTAGTTTCTGGTGTTTTCTCCACTCTTCCTTGAGTGACTCCACACGAGCCACACCGGCCTCGTCGGTGGCTTTATCGATGACCACGAGCTGACGCATGAAGTAGTCCGATGGGTTGATCTGCGGTGGGCAGGGGTAGCCCAGCGACGAAAAGTAGTCCACCGACTCGCTTGCTTTACCTTGGTACACTGGGGAGCCGTCAGACAGCAGATACAGCTGGTCAAAGATGGCGAACACCTCGGACGACGGCTGATGGATCGTAGCCAGCACCGTTCGACCGTCGCGAGCAATTTGCTGAAGTTGTTTGATGACCGTCTCGGCCATGAAACTGTCGAGTCCGGACATTGGCTCATCGGCAAAGATGATTTTCTTTTGGATCCTTCATCATAGCACGTTTGATTATAATCCTATTTTACCGAAAGAGTACGTACAGTACTGCACCTCGTTTTCGCGGGATAGGAATTATATTTTAGCTTACAAACAATGGCTCATTTGGTATCAGGATCATTGTTTCCTGAAGTTTATCAAAGGTCCGGAGGCGCGAAAACGGGGTGCAGTACTGTACCTCGCTTTTACGGTAGTACTCATCACAGTACAGCACACCACTGTTTTAATCACGCACCAAGACTCCCATCGAAGGGTTCGTTAGGATCTCCGTTGCGAAGGACAGACGCTTCCTCTCTCCACCAGAGATACCACGTATAGACTCGCCGCCGATGAAAGTGTCTCGACACTTCATAAGACCCAACTCCTCCATGACTTCGTCCACACGACGCATGTATTCGTCCTTGGTATACGTTTTACCCATGCGCAGTTTGGCCTGGAAGGTCAGATGCTCCTTAACCGTAAGTGTCTCGTAGAACAAGTCGTCTTGCATGACGTATGAGGCCATGCGCTTCGTCGCCTTGGTCCACGGCTGGCCGTTCAGCAGGATCTCACCTTCCACGCCACTCTTTCGACCAGAGATGCAGTCGAGAAGCGAGCTCTTGCCTGCACCCGACGGTCCCATGATGACGAGCAGCTCGCCGGGTTTCGCCGAGCCACTGACGTTGTTCAGAATAACCTTCTCTTCGGTCTTCTTTGTCGCCGGGTTCTTCACCTCGGCTTTGAGACTCAAGTTCCTCCATTGGAGCGTGAACTTGGCCGGCTCGGGGGCAAACCCTCGTGTCTTGGGCGTGTCGTTGACCTGAATAAAGTGGTTGGTAGGCGACGACATGATACGTTCACTAGGCGAGCTCGAACGGGAAGGTTGGAGGTAAATTGTAAACTGTACAGCTCTTCTCGAAATGGAATATGAGCACGAGATCTCGGAGGTTGTCAAAGACAGCTTATCATGGCCTACTACCGGAATGATCGTCCTTGATAGCGTAAAAAGGTGCTGGTACATCAGCTTGGCGGTGTTGGGATTACTCCTCCCTTGCTTTTAGAAATCACCATGAACTTAATGCCGGGACAGTATACATGCTACGGGTCCACACAGTCTCACAGGATTATTCAAAATCGAAGGAACAAAAAATACAAAAATATCTTCTGTGTGATAAATAATCAGCGTATATGCGGTATTACGGGTGCGCATTTCGAGAGGGTATTACGATATTATGAGGACGAGTATTAGTATTGTATTATGCAATCGGATGTTACCGTCGACCAATGGAAGTTCGTTTCGCGACTATCAATGTGATCATCATGAACGTGAAAAGCAAGTTGATGCCGCAGCCAAAGCGTCTGGTTTTGCGACGCTACGACGCTTGGTCATCAAACTCTAAGCTCGAATGATTATCTTGTGCGGTACGCCGTGTATCGCTTTGTAACATGCAGAGTACCGGTAACGTTGGTGGAGGTCTAGTGACGACCAATCACCAATTATTATCAAACTAATGCCAAGTCTGGTGGTTCCTTCATTCGTCTCCTCACTCATCAATCCTCTCCGTTTACCAAAGACACGTATCTCGTTAAGGTAGGAAATGACGACAATCCTAACACCTGCAGCAGCCACCCCACGTCTCGAGAACCAATGCGAGTCCTTAACTCTCTCCAATCAATATGTGAATGCCGTCTCGCCAAGACACATCACCGAAGCGGAGGAGCTCAGTCGGACGCAAAAGTGGGCACGTTCGTGGATGGTGACACGTTGGGCGGCTTTCTCGCTCAAATTTACTCCGGTCCCCGTTCCGGTTTCTCACGGCACGATTCGACATCAAGCGAGGTGACCTGGTTTCTCACTCTCCCGCTGCTTTGATCCTTCTCGTAGCTTCGGTTTATTTTACCAGCGAACATGAGACGTCAAGAGTGTCGGACATGCTGCCAAATTTCACGATGTTCCTGCGTGTTTGGAATGAGCGCTTAGCGCAAACAATTCCCTGGCTGGTGGGAACACTCAACAGTTAGAGTTATTCACCGGGGCGATTGGCGTAGCGTGGTTCATGATCTACATGATATTTGCTGTCTCTGAAACAAGATCCGCGGTGCTTCTTCGAGTTTTTGGCGGGTGTGCACAGGAGTTCTTTTTCATCGGGGTCATTGTGGCTGCTGTAGCGCACGGTGCATTCTTCGCCATCTTCGGTATCCTACCGTGGCTGGTCGACATGCTCTACCGACTCGTGTTCCGAGCTCGCACCTACGCGCGGGGCTCTTCCAAGACAAAGAACGCCTCAGCTGGAATTGCTGCTCGGGATCAAGTGGCAGTCCACGCTTTATCCGGTAACATTACGCGCATCCAGTTCCCTCGCGTCCGCAAGGATACCGGCGAGGCATTCGAGTATGAAGCCGGACAGTACGCGTTCCTTTGCATCCCGTCCATCTCATCTCTCGAATGGCATCCGTTCACCATCTCGTCGTCTCCGAATGAAGCTATGGTAACATTTCACATTAAAACTCTAGGAGACTGGACACAGAAGATGAGGACTGCTGCTATCAGCGCCTCAGAAGACTCTCCATTCGATATTCTGCTGGATGGACCTTACGGCAACGTGTCCATCGATGTTGCTACTTCTGGAGTATACTCGAACTATGTTCTGTTCTCTGGTGGCATTGGTGTGACCCCGATGCGGGAGAAACTATCGAGCACATTTTTTTTCTTGGCTCTGCAAGAGAACATCCGCACAGTAGCAGATGTTCAGACGTATGATTTGATTGAAGTTACACCTGGAATTGTCATTTTGTAGATGACGTCTAGACAAATGAGACGTCCGTGTTGGAGGGATCTTCGTTGGTGTAATAGTAGAAGTTCAGGACCATCGGTCGAGAAGTGTGTCTACGTTGAACTGGGGGATCTGCCGGCTCGCTCCGTTGAGGGACATCCCGGTGCTGCTTCCTGTAATACCGGACACGTTCTTTCTCGTTTTTCTTAAGCCGTCGCTCCTCACGTCTCCGTCGTACTGCAGTTTTACTGCAAGAAAACTTCTTCTTCAGGTGCCTCTTAAGCGCAGTAGGCGACGATAGATTTTTCTTGCACTCACGGCATCTTGTCTTCGGCTTCGCTCGTGACATCTTTCTTCTCAAATGAGAAAGAAAACTTAAACTTTTAGCTCATAAATAAAAAATATTTTCTCATAAATTGCATCGTCCCATGCTTTCACTCTTATATTTAATATTTAACAGAAACTGCAACACAAAAAAATGATACCAATTTAAATCACTGCTATTTTATACCAGAAAACTGCAAAGAATGGCAGAAAAAAAGTTTTTGAAGAGGAATACAAAAATCCTAAATTAAACCCATGCTTCCACATGATAAACATCTTCTTCAGGTCTGGGCAACAAGTTTCCGTTACATTATTCCTACGAGGTAAGATCTTGAAGGTATGCTAGCAGACAACGTACGCTATCACTTTTTCAATCATTGTAGAATTATCTCCGTCACACCAATGCAAAACCAACCAGGGGCACAGCAGGCATTCTTCACTATTCCTCCTCCTCCGGAGTGTGTATACCCAAGCTATCAGGCTGCTGAAGGTGCGCTTCACGCATGGACGAAGGCCAACTCCTTTAATGTCTCCAAACGCACCGCCTCATACCTTCGTGATAGAGCTAAAGTCATCTATGCTCGGTATTTCGAGTGCGACCGCGCCGGTAAGCCCAAGAACACGGGCAACTTAAGGGATAGTGATCGAATTCGAACAATGCGCGGCTCCAAACGTATTGGGTGCCCCATGAAGATCAAGCTCGTGGCAGTAAAGAAAGACGTTCCTGAAGGAGAGTGGGCAATCGTTCATTTAAAGCACGGCAGCTCGCGCCATAACCACCCAGCTTCAAACGATGTGCGCGTACACGCATCTCACCGCCAGCGAGCCGTATCGGAAATAACGCAAGCTCCTGTACCAACAATGCAGGCTTTTGTCAGAGCTCAGACCGCAGCAGGAGTTCAGGTCGCAAATGTGTATGCTAGTATCCTGTCCATTGATGCGGATGCTATGGTCATTCCCAAGGACCTAGCTAACGCTAGGCATGCAGCTCGTCAAGAAGCACTCGCCACGCAAACCCCAATAGAAGCTCTCTTTTCAGACATGAGAGAGCTTGGTTTTTTCTTCAGGCATGCTGTTGACGCCGAAACAAATCAACTCCGATACCTCTTTTGGTCTCATCCGTCGACTACAGAGTTTTACAGACAACACTCCGACGTCCTCGTCGTTGATTTCACCTACAAGACAACGAGATACAACATTCCCCTCTTAAATATCATCGCAATGACGGGTTTTAACACTGTACTTCCGGTGGCCCAGTGTTGGCTACCAGGACAAACCGAAGATGACTTCGTTTGGGCGTTCAACACCCTTGTGGAATATATGGAAGAAGCCGGTGCTGTTCAACCTCGAGTGATTTTATCGGATCGTGATCTCGCTTCTTTGAATGCTTTACGTCGTGTGTTTCCAGCGGTGTCTACTATGATATGTAGATGGCACATGAATCGGAATGTGCTCAGCAAAACCCGCCAAGTTCTAGGTCAAATTGAAGTTGAGCAGGCAGCTCCTGGTCAAGATAAGTTCGTTAACACATGGGAGACAGACTCCTTTATGATGACCTACTATGAAGCTGTGATTTCTGAGACCGAAGCTGCGTTTGAGGAAGCCCGGGTTATTCTTAAAAAGAAAAGCGCAATTGTGTCTGCGTACCTTGATCAACATTGGTGGAAGTACAAGACAAAAATGGTTCGTTGTTGGACTAATCGGTACGCACACTTTGGGTATCAAGATACATCGACAGTTGAAGGCACCCACGCCAAGTGTAAACGCTGGTTGCAAACGTGCCGAGGTGATTTATACACAGTTTTTCATAAATTGTTACCATGGTGGATCTCCTCAACAAGGGCCTTAAGCCTATTGAGCGAGAGAAACGCGACGATAACGCCGCACAGGCTGCAGGACCACCGGTACGCTGCAGTTGTTCGCATTATCACTATTTGGGCTTTGAACGAAACTGAAAAGCTGTGGAGAGAAGCATCTACAATTGTCAACAGAAGACAAACTCGAACCTTGTGTACTGGTGCATTTCGAACTGTACACGGTAGGCCGTGTATACACGAACTGATGAAAATTATTGAATCAAATGGTGTTTTGCGGCTCAATCCCGATCATTTCGATCCACACTGGCGAATTAGAAGGTTTGATGAAACATCACTTACTCCTCGAATAGCAGAACCAGCAACGATTCAAACTTCTTCACGTCGTCGCCCTCGCAGGAGCCATCGTGCAAATCAGGGTGTATCCGGCACAGCTCGCGACCCCGTTCTCAGTGAACGAATCGATAGAAATCACCCAGCGACTCCACCACGGGCGTGGGGCCGAGACACTGATGCTGTGGACGGTAACACTGATCTGCCTTCGTTTAATTCAATTTTCTCCTTTTTCAACATTTACCAGGCACCAGCTTCGACATTAGATATTGATCAAGAGGCCCAGACATTCCAAGACGTGTTCACACCAGCACGGACATGGGGATATGCTGGACTACGGCCACTTCAGTAACGTTAGTTTAAACTATAATACAGTTAAGTTATATAATTCATGAAATTGGTGTAGATTTACCTCGTTCCACACGACACACTTGTATTGTACTTTTGCCACTGGGCACGTAACAATCTCTTCGTCCCTCAGCGGCTCGCCTTGTCGAGGACAAACTGTGAAACCTGAGCTATGCTATGACTGCACGTGTATACGATACAGCAATAACTTCAATCAAATCATACGTCTGAACATCTGCTACTGTGCGGATGTTCTCTTGCAGAGCCAAGAAAAAAAATGTGCTCGATAGTTTCTCCCCAATTTCCCAATGGACTATCCACAGATCCGCATGCTCCTGAAGGATGTGGTTCGACGCGACGCGAGCCGCTCCCATAATTTCCCCATCATCATCGCAATCTTGGAAAGGGGCGCCGAGGAGCTTAACCTTCACCATACTGACCAAGCACTATGAGGGGGGGGGGTATGCGTCTGACCTACTTCTTCCTGCGCTGTCATTCCAAAATCCTGGCGGCAACGATCACCTCTTCTGCTGGCTCGCCCTCAACACCGCCGATATCATGATGGCCGACACGGCCGGCTTGTGTACGACGAGCCCATGCTCAGTAGCCGCAGCGTGTAGCGCGGTCGCATTTCCTCTATTGGACGCCTTACGCCTGCTTCAAACAAGAGGCAGCACCATCCCAGCGGCGGTATTCGTGACTGACGACGGTGCACGCAGCTTCGCGATGACCACCCGGGTGTTCAGCGCAATACAACGCGCTTCAGTCGCCGCGGGCAAACATTCGTCCCACTACAGTACCCTCGCAGGTCGGGCGGGGCAACTAGCACGTACCAGGAAGGGTTCGATGCGCTCGAGATCCAGTATCATGGTAGATGGTCATCATATACGTTCAAGATCTACACCCGGTTGAGCCGGGTGTAGATCTTGTGTCCACGACCCTCAACGACGGGGGGGGCTCAACCTGATCTCGGGCTGTAGTGCGGTAAACACACATCCATAAGCGTAGCACGCCAAATCCCCCTACTTGCCTATGCACTTTTCAACCCGGAAATGATAATACAAATGTTCGTTGTAATTCTTTTGTGGTGTATTTCTATAACTAAACCATTTGCGGAGACCGCACCAGTGTGCCTGGCGCTTTGGCGTACTACTCCACATACTGCTGATGAAGCCCGCTGCTTTTGCTACTGCACTTTTAATGCCTATGCTGTTCAGTATTATTAATGGTACGTCTCCTGTGACGGGTTTCTGTCATATGTATTACTAGCGCTGTAGCTGGAACCTGGGTTCAGAGAAATGTTTTACGCGCCTGCTTGTGTTGAAGAAGGGGGAAGGGGGGGGAGAGGCGTTGCGGCCTTCTATTACAATCTTCGTGGCTGCATGTATAAATAGCATAGTACCACTCCATTTCACCATGAAGCATATATCTAAACAGACGCTGCGCAAGACTGCAGATTGTAACAAAGCATGGTGTAACTAGTGTAAAAAGACACAATTTATCGGTGCCGTTCGTTTGGTGTGCACATATCGCAATAGGACCAAGTATTGGCGCCGCAATAGATGGTAGACAGGTGCCAAGGAGCTTCCACCGGCCCACCGCTAGCCGGAACAGAGTCGCACAACGCATTTTGCCAGCCCCCATCTATACACCCTGGTCAAATCCAACACGCCACGCAAGACGAAGCTCCCTAGAGCTGAGCACAAGCGTGCCGTTGTCGACTTGCTGCTGCACAGCACTGATGACACTCTGAATCGTGGGGACCTGTCTGCAGTTGCGGCTGGATATTTATCTCTAGGGACCACATTAACGAGATAATTTATCTCCAAGGACCACAACTGATGTGATTGGTAGTTAGTGGTGTTGGAGTTGGTCTTGTTGCTTCAATGTGAGAAAGGTTCCTGGGAAAGGTTCAACACAGGAAACCAGCGTTCTATCACTCAGCGATTCTCCAAGAGCTGCCCAGTGCGCGGTGTGGTAACAAAGCCCAGGGCTGTTTATCCCGAGGGAGGTGCGCTGAGTGGGCAGTAGTTGGAGATGATGTTCGATCCCCACACCACACGCGTAAGTAAATACATGT